TCATGATTATTATTCTTATTTGTATTATCATGATTATTATTCTTATTTGTATTATCATAATTATTATTCTTATTTGTATTATCATGATTATTATTCTTATTTGTATTTTCATGGTTATTATTCTTATCTGTAGTATCATGATTATTATTCTTATTTGTATTATCATAATTATTATTCTTATTTGTATTATCATAATTATTATTCTTATTTGCATTATCATGATTATTGTTCTTATTTGTATTATTATGATTATTATTCTTATTTGTATTATCATAATTATTATCCTTATTTGTATTATCATGATTATTATTCTTATTTGTATTATCATGATTATTATTCTTATTTGTATTATCATAATTATTAATCTTATTTGTATTATCATAATAATTATTCTTATTTGTATTATCATAATTATTATTCTTATTTGTATTATCATGATTATCATTCTTATTTGTATTACGACATTGGGTTGCAAAGATCAGAATTTGTGACAAAGACTCAAGACATTTTATGGTAATAAAATGTCTTAAAATCTAAAACTGAATGTACTTTGTTTAATAATCCATATAATTAACACAAATAATATATTTCGAAATTGCCTATTAAATGGAACTTATGAGCTCTATGTAAACAAGAAAAAACATCTTGGTAGTCTGTAAATATACTTTTTAGTTTGTTTATTTGTCTGTATCCAATAAATGTAAAAAAGGCTGAATCGAGCGGGCCCAATTTTTTTGTGAGCCCTCACATGATCCTAAGGTAGATTTATGAATAAATTTTTAAATCCTCGAAAAAATATAAACAAATCCGCGAATGTTTTTTTGTTATTGTTTTATAATTTAAAAAGAGAAACTGGCGTGCAAATATAGCAACAATTAAAAGTTGGAATCTAAGATGCACCCTGGATTTTAAGCATTTTTCAATTAGACAACTCGATGATTGATGAAAGTTTATTTTTCAAGTGCACTCTTTAATACAGGAGTTTCACTTCTATAAACCTTCTAATGCTGTAAAACTATATAATATTTATGGTTCCAACTTGAAAGATCTATTTGGAGAAAACTGTGAACAAATGGAACACAGTGGACTAAAGCCAATCTGAATTCTAACCAGACCGACCCCTTGTACCGGCCTTAGTAATGCACGGCATGTACCGGTCCGACCCGTTGTACCGGCATTAGTAACGCACGAATTGTACCGACCCGACCCTGTACTATACACACGCACACCTGACCCTTTAGTAAAAGTAAATTCGACCTAAAGTCTGATCGCGTCTACCTTGTTGCACCGGCTAGTCCTATTCAGTATGTCTGCTTTATTTACCCTATGTTCGGGCGATACAATACAAACTGGGACAGGAAAGAGGTTGACCTGGCTAGAAAATTCAAATGTACTATGGCTTCCCGTGTACAGACTCAGCTTCAAATATGAATATCCGGCCAGACTTTTTACAGTACCCGGCCTATCATTTCACTATTTTACCTATACCACTGGCTTAGCTGAGTGTGCGAATATAAGTATTAGAATTCTTCTTGATTTACCCATGGATTGATATAGATTATTATTATCATTATTATCATTTCTATGGGGGGGGTTCTGAACCCGCAGTTAGGCTGAACAGGACTCTAAATCTCCCTGCTACTCTCCTGAGCTTTCAGCAGGGTCTCCAAATTTTTCAAAATAATCTTTGCGAATTTTTTTTCCACTGTTAAGTTGATTTTATCAAATCTTTTTATCTATTATTTGTTTATTTTCGAGCTTAAAAATGCGCAAACCCTGTTCGGGTTGGTGTGCGGCGGGTGGGGTTGTCAATTCTTGCTATTTTTGAACGACGCCTGGCCATGGCCAGTACATGTCTCGTATCCCAACATTAATTTTGATAATCTGCGACAACATCTGACGAGTTATCATTAATTTTACTCATCCTTACTTGGTTTTGTTGATAAACATATTTGTAGAAACACTTCAGCATTAAAGTTTTTCGTAAAGAAATGAAATGTGTTTTTTGCTTATTTTCTTTATTTTCAAGCTATACATATATGGTTTCTAACATCTGTCACACCTTATATGCGGGCCAGGGGGGGGAGGTCACGGGCGAGAAATAGATTCTTTTTGAAATAATGATTTTCTTTTGTGATTGAGATATTAAATATATGTTTCTATTTTTTCTTTGTCTATCAACCAATCTATGTAATTGCTTACAAAAAAAATTTTTTTTACCTATATATT